AAGAAACTTTAAAACAAGAACAAGAAGAATCAGAATCAAATAGAATGCAGCAAGACAATTCGATGATACTTTCACAAAAAGAACAAGATGTATTATTTGGTGTTGGCAAAGATAATAGAAATTAAATTAGAAATAAAATATAAATTTTTGTAAACATGTGAAAACAAATTAATTTGCTTTTAATAAAAACAAATCGTTTTTTTTTTTAATTATAAAAAACTAATAATATCATTAAAAATCGATATTTTAAAATTTTAAATTGAAATCAATATACCCCGATACAAATCAATTTTTAAAAATTTTAAACCAAAATCAATAACCCTCGATACATATCGATTTTTATCTAAATCAATAAAAATCGGCAGGGAGGATTATTATCAATATGTATTCAGGGTGTTATTAATTGATATATCACCTTATTTATTTTGCTGATGAAACTATATAGTTTTAAAATATTGTTTTTCTTGGATTTAAATAATATATATTGTAATTTATATCAAAAACATTATTTTATATTATAATTAATTATTAACATATTTTTTACAAAATATAAAAAAGCTTTTATTATATAAGACAAATGATTTTACAAGTAGATAATTCTTTTTTTTTCTTGTCTCAAGATTTTTTAAAAATATATCTATTACAATAAGTTGTAAATCAGTATTAGTTAAAATAATTGTATTTATATATCTCATGTTTAAATATTAAACATATAATTAATAATTACACTTTTAATAAAGGCAATGAAATATGTCTCACCTTAATAAGAAAAAATATAACTACTTTATATAATGTTTTAATAAATAATAAATTCTTTTATTAATAAAACTATTTCTATTTTGAAAATTAATTTACAAATTTTATTAATAAACATTATTTATTTATATATTACTCATATTTAAGTGATGTCAGTTCCGTGAAACATTAATACAGTTCACGGCAATTTTGACAATTTTCGCGATTTTTTGACTACGTGACATGTAATAAGTCACATATTTCTCATGATCTGGAATTTCACATAAATTTGCCTGCACACTGTAGGTGTGTCGCATAAGTAAAGTAAGGGAACAGTCACCCTGTTACTTGTTTTTGGTAATAGATCTCTGCCTACATAAGTTAATCTCTAATATTTAACGTGCTAATAATACAACGATATAAAGCTCATATACTGTACGTAACATCTTCGTGATGTATAGGATTCTCGAGTATTTCAAAATAGATTTTAAAAATAAAACCAATAGACCATTCAAAATTTTGAGTTAATATTTAAAATACAATCCTTAATTTTTCGTAAAATTATGTTATTAATTTTTACATAGAAATTATTAAACCTCACTTTCCCAGTTCATGATACACATGATTCTTTTTATCTTGTCTGATATAAAGATTTCCTTCAGTTTACATTATTTCTATGCAAAACCAAAACCTCTACCATTTTGAATCGCCACTAATAATCGATCACTAAGTTTTGCCTTTGTGCTATAATCGGGAAGCAAAAGGACTCCAAAACATGTTCGTGCTGTTGGTAGTCTACATTCGATCAACTAGTTTAGTATGTTTTAATCAAAATAAAACTAAAATTCACAATATTACCTATCGGAGTCGGGGCCGTTTCTTTGAATGGTAAAGGACATATCACTATACCCTCTGATTGGAACACGATCACTAGCAGTAACAAATGCTAAGATTTGCTTTTTTTGTTGGTGAGAGAAATCATGTACGACAGACCAAAAATTTCTATATAAAATTGCCAATATTATTTAATGTACAAAAAACCGTTAAAAGGATTTAGATCATATGTTGCTCACCTTATTGTAGGGTGATTTCTCTCAAAACCACCTTCATATCTTACAGTTTTCTCCAATTCTTTGAAGTCAAGAACTCTATTTCCACAAATAAGTAACTCCAATTCCTCAGCACGACACAACTAATAATAAAAAATTTTTAGCAAAAATGAACAATGAACCTTAATGTACCTAATCAACATAATTAAATATATTTGTTAGTAATTTCGATAAACCTTAGGGATTATTCCGTCGCACATCCTTAGAAATCCTCTTTGCAATGCATTGAATTGTTTTTCAATATATTTATTGGCAAAATG